CACACCTATAATTCTAGCACTTGGGAAGCTGAGGCAGGAAGATCACAAGTTTGAGGCCGGCCAGGCTTATATAGCTAGTTTAAGGCCAACCAGGCCTACACAGGGAGCCCCTGTCTCAAAACAAAAAAACAAACAAAATTGAGGTCCAACCACTTGATATTTATGTCAATTTGACATCTATATTTTTAAGATTAGTTTCTGTGTCAAGACATTCCAGGAACAGTGTCAGCTTTACTTTTGAAAATTTTGCTAAGGAACTCATCAAAATAAGACAATAAATAAAATATGGTGCTAAAGAGATTAACGCTTTCCATGTTAAAAATAACAAGTGTTTTGTTTCAATCTTTTGGGTTAAATCTTTTTAAAAATTAAGCATGCCAGAATTATTTTCTTTCATATAGTTTTGTCACATTAGAAATAGTCTTGCTCAGTAGCTCTTCAAGTTCATCACTTTGAAGATAGCCATTCATGAGTTAACTATAATCATTATCTTTAATAATATCTGTGAGTACCAACAGACCAAGTGAGTCGGGCAGCTTTAAAGTCCGTAAATAGTACTGAAAACATTAATTTAATCACAGTGCCCACAGCACTCTAAATACTACAGGGTCATGTACACCAAATTCGTTATGATCTTGAAAAAGCAAAGTCCAAATCAGTACCTCTTTTTAATCCCTTTAAAAGTAGACAATAAATGAGATCCATACTTTTACACTTTTTTTTTTTCGGTACTGGGGATTGAACTCAGGACCTTATGCTTGCAAGGCAGGTGCTGTGCCACTGAGCTAAATCCCTGGACCCCATACTTTTGGATAGGCAAATTATATAAATGGTGGTTACTGGTTTTTTTGTTTTTTTTTTCTTTTTTGGAAATAACCTAAAAGAAAATTAGGGTCAAGTTATCTGAGAAATATTTAATGCATGTGCCGAATGAAATATCCAATCAAGCAGAATTAGAAAAAGAAGTGTACCATAATCTTTCGCACATCCTGAATGAATTTTGGTGGAGGATTAATGCCATATAAACTTGCTGTGATTTTGATGAATGGCCCTCTGTACTAGTTTCATAGCTGAGGGCAGGAATTTTCCATAGAAACAACCAGCTTCAACATAAGTATTTCCAGAATTTACTGCAGTCAACAATAATTTATTAATTGCTGACTACAATTGCCAAGCTCCCTATAAAGTTCTAGGAATTTATAAATTAATAACACATTGTGGTTTTTTTCACTTTAATTTTTTTGTGGTGCTGGGGATTAAACCCAGGGCCTAATACATGCTAGGCAAGCACTACCACTAAGCCACACTCCTAAACCCTAGAGTTCTAAATCTGAAATTTCATAGATGTGGAGGGAAGATAAAGTTATAGTTGTAGCCAGGCTGGTGGCACATGCCTGTTATATGCAGGCATTCTAGGAGGCTGAGGTAGGAGGATTGTAAGTTCAAGCCCAGCCTGAGCAACTTAGGGAGACCTCATCTCAAAAGTGTAAAAAGGGGGCCAGGGGATTTAGCTCAGTGGTTCTGCCACCTGCCTCTCAAGTGCAAGGAGATCCCAAAGTTCAATCCCCGGTACCAAAAAAAAAAAAAAAAAAAAAGTGTAAAAAGGGCTGGGAATGTAGCAGTAAGAAGCCTCTGGGTTCAATCCCTAGTACTACAGAAAACAAAACAAAATTACAGTTGTGTGATATGGAGCAGTAAAACGGCTGGTGATCATCAGATTGTCTAGGATGTAGAAGTAGCTCATGTCCAAATTCTGTTTGAAATGATGACTTAAAGGGTGAATAAATGCCAGGCACACAGCTACAATACCAGTTACTAGGGAGGCTGTGGCAAGAGGATTGCAAGTTTGATAGCCTGAGTTACTTCTGACCCTATCTTAAAACTTAAAAGAGCTGGGATGTAGCTCAGTGATATGGGCATCCTTGAATTTAATTCTCAGTATGGCAGGTGAGGGAGAATGATTTCCTGATGGGCAAACTCATATGATCTATTAGAGAGGAAAGGCACCAGGACATATACATTTAAGAGAGATAGGTTGGTACCTAACAATGGAGAGGTTTTGGTGCTGTTAAAATGTTCAAATTGTATCTGGAATACAAAAGAAAACCAGTAAAGGTTTTACAAAGAGAAATAATACGATTAGACTGGTCTTGGATGGAGTAAATAATGGAGACTAGTAGGCATCAGTTTAATGTGAACAAGGTGCAAGGCACGGCCAATGATGTTTATTGAGGTGCACATCATTGTACACCAGGTACTGGGCAAACAGTTCATCTTTTTAAAAGGGGCTTATGAGGCCAGGGATTTAGCTCAGTGGTTCTGCCACCTACCTCGCAAGTGCAAGGACCAGAGTTCAATCCCTGGTACCAAAAAACAAGGGGGGGGGGTTATTTACAGTCAGCATGTTAGATAAGATACCAAAAGATAAAAAGTGACAGTATAGAGCAGAGTTGTTGAACCTATGGTGTGCATGCCACAGTGGGCTGTTTACTATTTTTGAAAGCTCTAAAAGGTTCACCATTATTCGTTTAGGGGAATTACAGTGATGTCAAAGAAAGACTGAGAAAATGACACTGAAGTTTAAACATGAGGGGAAAAAATAGGATTTCAGAAATTTAAACTGATTTGGAGTACTTCGGGTATTTATAAGTAAGTAGACCTTATAATCTCTCCATACTTCTAAAGAATCCACTTCTTTTGCCTTTATTGCTTCTAAAGTACCTAAAATGGCTATTAAGTTAAATTATGCCAGGAGGCTAGGATTAAATGTCTCTCTTTCATCTCATATAACCCTTTATCTTTGTATCATTTCACGTTATAACTACTTGAAAATTACGACCAAATAATTGGTCAGGAATTTAGGAGCACTAGGAGAGACAGAACAAAAGGGAAAGGGGAGATAATAAAGACTGAATAATTAAAATGGCAAATGACTTAGAAAGATCAAATAAGTCTCAGCATTGTCCATTTAACATTAATCATTTGGACGTTTCTATTAATCTATTTGTAGTTTCAGTGAGTAGTTCCAGAAAGCCAAAAATAAGCCTGGACTGAGAACTTCCTATTAGATTTGGTTGTAGGAGGATTTTGTTTATTCTTGTTTTCACTAATGAAGGGTGAGTAGAGTGTGTTCTATAGGATTAGTATGAAGGAAAATAATGTTACAGGAGACATTAATGTGCATACATACTATTAGTAAACTGTATCTCCTCATGCACGATCCTTATACATATGTAATAGAGTTAATGTTAATACATTTTCGCTTACCCATAGGAATTTCAGATGCATACAAACTCTAAACGTTTACACTGAAGGAGTAAACCTGTAAGTTATGAACCAGTCATTTCTGCTAATTTCTTCAGCCTAAGAGTAAAGAAGATCAGGATTGAATTAATTTGTTTTCCAAAATAGAGATGAGCAAAAATATTTTATTGTTTAATACATTGTCATCGGCATATGAGTTTCTGCATTCTAATTTGGAATGCCATTGATAATTAGGAGAAACACGGCTCTAATATGTTCTTTAGATACTATATATTGTTTTGCATAGTACATTTTCTGGCCAAACTCCTTTTTACCATTTATTTTCTGTGTGCTGATTACTATGCTGTGCCAAATCAAGGTCTTCTTTACTGTTTCCAGTTCATACCCTCCCCTAAGGCATAATGCCAAATTAGTGCTTTTTTCACGTCTCTGCTCTAATCTACTGGGATAGATATAAAATTCCAGTTTAAAAAAATCTTAACAAGTAACGACATGTCAGAGATCACAGGACAAGATTTCTCTGGGATATGTAACAGTGCTAAATTTTAGGCAGGCCAGTTTTTTGTGGGTTTTTTTGCAGTGCTAAATTTTAAAAAGTGGTAAAAACAGTAGCTGGTCTCATCATAACTTTCAGGTACTGGGAACTGACAGTAACTGAAAATCACTAATGCTTACCAATGTTTATCAGTCTCTACAAATGAAGGATTGCAAACTTGGTTCTGTTTGGTGCTCTCTTTTGCTACTCAGTTTTGCAAACACAATTCAAAAGTTCTAAGGACTTAAAAGTCGGACCTTCAAACTTTTATCTACACCAGAAGTCCTGGTAGATTAAAGGTCGCACCTTTAAACTTTTATTTAGACCAGATGTTTCTAGACGTAACAGGGATTTGAAAAGTGCTGTATAATTTTTTTTTCACTGTATAATTATTTTACGTGTAACGCCTGCTCATCAGATTTTAGTACTTAGGCTTTTTGGCGACAAATCACTGCCTGAGACTGATGATGTTCACAAATGGAAGATTCCTCTGAAATTTGTCTCCCATCTAATGAGAGTGTCATTTTAATCACTAACCCACTAGAGAGCTCAGGATTTCTATACAAACTGAAAACTGGTGTTTGTGGCGTTTACAATTTCATTTCAGTCTGTCTAGTGAAAGCTCCTTCTCTTCTCGAATACTTTCATTGCCTTACCTGGTCTGACAAAAACTGTGCCGCCCCACCCTAGCAAAGATAACCAGGGACCCTTGCCCACTGCCTGCAGCCGCACTGGTTGGGGTATGTGCGGCCCTGGCGGCAGGAGTGCACGAGCCAGGCACAGCCCTCCTGGTACCACAAGCTGTCCCTGGCCTTGGTCTGGTCCGCGGTCCGTCCGGGGAGCAGGCGATGAGAGCACCAGACGCCCAGCAGGCCCCGATCTTCGGCGACTTGCTGAAAGCACCGAGCTCTTTTCCCCTGGGGCTGATCCAAATTCGCCGGGGTCTGCGTAGCTCGGGCCTACTCGCTGTACCAAAGGAAGGTCAAGCTCACCTTGGAGAAGTCCGCGCCCAGGCAGCAACTAGTACCACAAGGGGCAAGCCCAGCAAAACCTTCCCGGGTCAGGGGAGGACAGCCAGGCCCGACGTAACCGAAGGCGGAGCCATGCTCTTCGGTTTCCGGACCTGCGCAGACGCCTCTCTTTGCCTCCCTGGGATCCTAGCGCGCCCCTCCCCTCGGCGGCCGTTTCCCGACATGCTCTTCGGAGGAAGAGACGGAGTCGACAATAACAAACCCAGCCGCGGTCGTGTCCGCGGCCCTGCCGAGCCCTCGGTGCTGCCTCGGGGTCCCACAGTCTCCCGGGCCCCTCGGCTCTGACCGGCCGCGGCCCCCTCACTCCCGGCCTCTTAGCAAGAGCCGAGGGGCCTGACCCCGTCCTCCGCCCCGACTGCTCCTTTCTACCCGGAGTTCGGGGCCGCAGCTGGCGCACCGGCGCCCGGACGCCGGCAGTTGTGTCGGTCGGCGGTGCGGAATGGGCGGTTGGTAGCCGCCGCCAAAGACTAGGCGGCGGTGGAAGATGGTGCCCGGGGCCGCCGGCGGAGGAGGAGGCGCTGCCGGGTAAGTGCTGCCGCCGCCCGCGTCCCCTTCCCCCATCTGGGTACCGCGGCCGCCCCGGAGCGGCGGGCCCGGGTCGCGGCGTCCCGGCCCGGGCTCAGGTGTCTGCCTGCCGGCCTCGCGCCTCTGGCCCCGGCAGGTATTGTCTCGCGGCGTGTCAGCCCCAGCGGAGACAAAAGCGGCTCGAGCTGAAGCCCCACTGGACTGCCTGAGGTGTGGGTTTGCTTGCAGCTTCCTCAGCGGGGCTTCGGGTCTCTCTTTGAGCCGGTCTGCACCTGGCGGGATTATGGAAGCGGCCGACGGCAAGAGACGCCCGCTCCTGCCGGGACGCGTCGTTACTTGTGGTCACGGCTGCCAGGGCGCAGCCCTAATGGTGTTTTGGGCCCCAGAACTCGGAGAGTGGGGTTGGGCGGAGGCCGAACGAAGCGCAGAGAGTGGGAGGAACCTAGAGATGATGTCTTTGTCCCGACCCCAGAGTGTGAGGATCGGTGTAAAGTTACTCCTAGGGATGACTCAGCCTCCGACCGCCCCACTGATAGATTTGGGATGGGGTGTGCATGCGGATTTCACAACTTCCTTGGTGGAAACAAAAATACTTTAACCAACAGGCGAAATGATGGCTTCTAAGTGGAGTATGTATAGTTTCTAACACCGCCTCGTGGATGGGGTATGTGTTCACTATTATGGTTTCGTAATCTAGGCTTTTCTGTCATGACTCCTTAAAGTGTGGTCATACCATTAAGTGGTAGAGGCCCGGGTGTCAAGAAATACTAATGTGTTGCTCACTGTTGATAAAGTCACTGCAGGACATTCAGCTACATAGGAATGTTTTTAACTCGGCTAACAAAATACTGTACACCTGTTTTGCTAACGTGTGTGTGTGTGTGTGTGTGTGTATGGTTTAGGTGTTTTTGTGTTGGAGATTTCATCATTTAAAGGTTTGGAAAGCTATACAAAGAGACTTTTGGTCAGATATTTCTGTGAGAAGCAAAGGGACTTCTGAAGGGAGTGGGTGATTTTGTTTTTTTGGGTTTTTTTGATGTATAAGTGTGCCACTGCTGCGGGTGTGAGAATTTTTTCTTTTTGTATTTAGTGTTGTAACGGAATATAGTCTGCATGAACATATTTTTTCAATGACATTCTTGTTATTTTTTGAGCATTTACAATTTTGTTCAAAACCTGGAGTTATGTCATGGATGCTTCAGGCATACAATATATATGATAAATTTCTATTGAAAGAAAGTTGGACTTAAGGCCACATTTTAAAAGTAATGTTTTATTACCTATTTTGAATATTCCATATTAATCAAATTATGACATTTATGGGCCTAATACTGTTTCAGTTACTGAATGTCAGGAAGCCAATGAAGCAGTACTCTTGCTCCTGGAGAAAGTTTGTCTGGCCTCTGCTGACAAACACCAGGGTGGAATGCCTAGCAAGCTCATTGTAACCCCAGCACTCTGGGTGGCTGACACAGGCAGATCTTGAGTTAAAGCTCAGCCTGGGCAATTTAGCAAGTGTCTGTCTCAAAAAAGGGAGGGTGGGACAGGATGTGGCTCAGTGCAAAGGCCCTGGCTTCACTATGCAGAGTGTCTGAGTACCTTCCACACCTCAAAAGAAAGAATGCATAGCAGATTGACTTAGCAAATTAAATTCATAAAGGGCAAAAGAGCAGAGGACACAAGACCTCTGTTTTGTTCAGTTTGTGGTGCTGGGGATAGAATCCAGGGTCTTGCACATGCTAGGCAAGCACTTTACCACTGAGCCACATCTCAAGCTCCGTGATCTCTTGTTTTTGAAAGCCGATTATAAGTTTGAAAGCTTTTATTTGACCTCTTATTTAGAGATTATCTTTAAATTTTATTCATCTTTAGCAATTATTTGAGGACCAGTACGCTTTACTTGGCAGATGTATATCAGTTGTGATTTTTTTTTTTTTTTTTTTTTTAAGAAAGGCCAGTACAACAGAATCTCATTCTGGCAATTATATTCTCTAACCCCATTTACTTTTTCTTTTGTAGTCAGTAGTGGCCTAGGTAACTTAAGTGAAAATCTAGCAGTCCCTCCCCACATTTATGATCTTTTTATTAACACTGATTGTTGAACTGATTAACTGAGGAATACAAAAAAATTTTTTTTTTTGGTACCGGGGCTTGAACTTGGGTTTTTGCGCTTTCGGGGCAGGTGACGGAACCACTGTGCTAAATCCCCGGCCCTATACAAAATTTTTTAAGAAGTTCTTGCTTTAAAAAAAAGGAAAGTGGGGGGCCAGGGATTTAGCTCAGTCATGCTGTGCCTGCCTCTCAAGCACAAAGTCCTGAGTTTGATCCCTGGTACCAGAAAAAAAAAAAGAGGGGAGGGAATAAGAGTCATGTAAGAACAGTTGTATTCTTATTGGAAATTGGTATGAAGGTATTTGAGCTTTTATAGGGTGTAAAGAATATTTTGGGAAGAAAAAATATGGTGTGACATGGGTTTGAGGCCCTGTCTCAAAATAAAATAAAAAGGGCCAGGGATGTAGCTCAGTGATAGTGTTTGTTGAGCATGCATGAGGCCCTGGGTTCAATCCCCAGTACTGCAAAAATAAAACAAAACAATGGAGAAAATTAAAATGTCCTGGGGCAGTGGTGGTGTACCTGTGGCATGTGTGCAGCAAAGGGCTGTTTGTACCATTGAAAACTGTAAAACGTTGGCCATCACTGTCCTAGGGCATTTCAGAGTTTTGACAGGTATTTATTGTGTACTTACTAGTACTGCTGTAGAAGGTAGGGAGGGATTCTAGGGAAAGAGTGGAGAGGAAAACATGGTAATGCTAAGGAGAAAAAATAAAGCAGGGAAGAGAAGGTATGAAGTGCCTCAGGCTGGAGGGAAGTTGAAACTTTATAGAAGATGACCAAGGAAAGCCTCGCTGAAAGACTTTTGAATAAAGACCCAAGAGAACTAGGGGAGCTAGGTACTTAGCTATCTGACAAAGTACATTTTTGTCAGAAGGAACAGTAAATGCAAAGGCTCTAAGGAAAAAGAGATTACTGAAAATAGACTGGCCTGTTGGGGAGAGTAGTGGGAGATGTTCCATAGATATTCAGGATTTATTGGTCACAGTAAAGAAACTGTAAAGTACCTTAACCCTGCATGTGTAAAGGCACAGAGATGAGTTCCAATAATAGTAATATAGTTGAGAAGCACTTGGAGCCATTCACTCCTAAAATTTTACGTGAACCCCTGCATGAGCTGACTGTCACACTCTTAGCTTTAACAGTGTACCAATGAACTAGAGGGACTGAAGTGTTTGGGCATGGGCGTGTATATGTACTTGTGTGTCTAGGAAATGGTGAAACATTGGAGATTTTAAAGAAGGTAAAATGACAAGTGTAGATTGATGTCGTAGAACTGATAGCTAGACAGTTTGTGTTGTGCTAAGTTGAAGAGTTTGTATTACTCTTTTAGATAAAAGAATATAAAGCTTATTTACCACATTTCTCTTTCATTATTATGGACCTAGGAAACCTGATTACCTGTGAGCTGAACACCTGTTGTCCAGGGTCCTGAGAGACTTTCCATTCTTTTATAAAGTTAGAGCTCTGATAAATCAGTTTTGCAAGTGCATTCATTCTTTCATTGGTTAGTGGGGAATGCCACTTTTTCCACCCATGATTTTGTTCTTTTGAATTCTCATACTTCATTGACTTGAAATTAAGCTAAGAGATTCAAGTGACTATTACACATTTTCATTTTTGTTATTGATGTTTTTTTCAGTACTGGGAATTGAACCTAGCACTGAGCTATATTCCCAGCCCCCCCCTCCCCCATTTTTTTTTTTTTTTTTAATCTAGAGCCAGGGAGGGTCTCACTGAGTCCCTAAGTTGCCCAGGCTGGGCTCAAGCTTAACTCTTGATCCTTCTGCCTCAGCCTCCAGAGTGCTGGCATTACAGGCGTGTGCTACCATGCCTTGCTTATTACTGACTTTTTCCTTAATATTCCACATAATCATTGGTCAATAACTATCCAGGATATCTGTTGAAATATTAATTATTTCACTACCATACTGATGATATTTTCATGGCCTTTGGTAAGGTTTTTACTGCACATGTCACATTAACGCATGCTTTTCTGATAGCTGTGTGCTTGCAGATAGCATCATAGAATGAATTTAATATTTATAGGTAATTTTGATTTTCAAATTTTTAGTTTACATTGTAAAATAAAAACATGCAACTAAAATTTTTCACTGAGGTCATGCATTTTTTCAGTCTTTCTTTCCTCCCTCCTGCCCCCCTTTTCTCTGTCTGTCTCTCTCTCTCTCTCTCTCTCTCTCTCTCTCTCTCTCTCTCTCTCT